TAGCTCCAGTCCTGCCTTCTCAGGGCACCTGCCTTATTGACTTAGCCCTCAACTCAGTGACACTGCTTGATCCTGTGAAGGCTCAGATGGTTCTGTATGTTTGTAATTTTGTGAGTGTGCATGAGAAGTATATGTGAATGGTGTGTATCATATGAGAGTGTGTCAGCGTACATGTGGACACAGATGGGGCTGTGTGTGCGTGCATGAGCATAACTGTTCTGTGTAGATGTGCTCTGTTGTCACCTCAGCCAGATGGTGGGAAATGGTGAAGGGCTGCCTGGTTCCTCATCATCCCCATGTGTTGGGCTGGGGAGCTCAGAGGTCAGTCAGACATGTTCCTATCCTCCAGGAGACAGTCCCACTGGCAGTGACAGCCAGTGTGGCTAGGACCAAAACAAAGAACATAGGGCACAGAAAGAGCACTGGCCTGGCCTGGCAGCCAGGAAAGCTTTTCCAAAGAAGATGAAGCTTGAATGGAGTTTAGAAAATGAGTGAAAGAAGGGAGAGGACCTTTGTGTTCAGGCAGGTGGAGGCCTAGGGCCAGTGGGAAGGGCAAGGGTGTGTTTTATGTCATGGCTGTGTGTAGCTGAGGCCAGGCCATACACAGGGGAGAATGAGGATGAACCTGGAGAGGTCAGGGGGGCCATATCATTGTACCTTGGGTCTTGAGTGAAGGATGAGAAAGGCATTGACACTGAGTTAGAAACTGGGCTCTGCCATGGTTTGGGCAGACCAGACGTGTGACAGCAATCCAAGGGGAGATGGGGAAGGTCTGAACAAAGCACAGGTAACAGAACCAAAGAAGACAGAGTAGATTAGAAAAAGGCATTTAAAATCTGCAAGACTGGGTGACCTGTAAGACATGGCCTCTGAGGCAGAAACATCTTGGACCCAGGGTTCAGGGGCTGGAGATGGGGGTGTGTGGTTCTTTGCGGTCTTAGGGGTAAACTGGGCTGGTGCTGGGAGACTGCTGATTAGAAGCCAGTGAGACATGGGCCAGGGCCACTCAGAAGCCAGGGGTTCCCAGAGGCAGAGGCTGTGGACTCCTGGGCTGGGTCTGGGCTGCAGATAGGCTTCAGCTCCCTGACTCCACACCCCCGAGGTCCCAGCACCAGGGCAGGGCTCTCTTCCCTCTCGAGCCGCCTGGAGCAGCCCCTCCTACTACCTGTTGCTTCTTCATCTGGCACATCTTCACACAACAGTGCTACTTGATAAAGAGCTGAGGAATCTTGAGAAAGCCACAGAAGAAAGGAAGCATCAAGGTGCCTTCCTAGACCCGCAATCTCCCCCATAGTTCCAAAGCTTGCTTCAGAAAACCCACTCATGTCTCAGGCTCAAAGGGCCTGACTGATCACCAGGGAGGCTCTGAGCCTCATGTCCCTGCCCTGAGGAGCTTCAAAGACGGCCTTGCCACCGACCTCCTGTTTCTCGCTAGAGTGGAAGTCTTAGTTCCACCTGCCACCTGGATGTCTTTGGTGTCTTCACCTCTGAGCTTCTGGTTGACATCAGCTCATGAAGCATGCCCTCCTCCCCCCAAGGTGTCCTCTTGCCCCTGGGTTCCCTTTGAGAATTGTCACAAGCTATTTCTACTCTGGCCCAGAGCAAAGGCTTCTCTCTTTTGCCAAGGGTGCAGGTCCTTGCCAGGCCTGAGTCTGGTTCACCATGCTGGCAATGTGGCCTGTCTCTCCTGAAGAGCTAGACTTAGCTCTTGAGCAGCTGCTGAGGGCAGTGAGGCCCCCTGGATCTCAAACTCAGAATCCCCTGGGGAAGAGTAGTCCTCTGTATAAGTTTTTCTTCTTTTATTTACAGGCAGAAGCTGGGGTTCAGTACCAGTCTGGCTGCACAATCAGGAGACATGTGTTCCTATCATTTGACTTTGTGAGACCATTTGGGCTTCAGGTCCTTCAACTCTAAAATGGGGCCAATATGCCTTGAAAGACTGATCTATAAATCCAATAAGGTAACACATCTGAAAAATGTCAGATACTGCCTGAAACATAGAAAGTATTACTTTTAAAAAAATTATTAATTCAATAATGTACATAGGTTACCACGTAGCCCCTAGTCCTCATGTACAGGGAAGCCCCAGAAGGGAAGATCCTGGAGGGGAAGCCCTAAGACGGGAAGGACCTTGGAGAGTTCACAGGCAGTTTCCATGAAACACCCTGTTCCACTCTGTGCCAAAGAACACAGGTCAGGTGTAAAGTCAGCAAGTTCCGGGGTGGGAGAGATCAGTGCTGAGAGCCCAGGTAGTCTGCCAGGGCTGTGGGAATTGGGGCAGGAGGCTGGGTGATCAGGAGAGAGGGAAGTGAGTTGGGCTGAGTGGGATGTGAATATTTGGAAGACTAAGAGGATGAGCGTAAGAACCTTCATAACTCCAGTGTGGTGTTGGCCATGGGTCCTTCAAGAGGCCATCTCCTCCAGAAGGAGAAGAGACTTTTGCCCGTGAATCCTGCATCACTTGATTGACAAGGGGCATGTCCTGCTGGTCTGACCCAGGGTGACCAAACCAGGCTACACTGCAGGCCTCAGGCCAGGTCTCCTGGACTCAGGATGATGAGGCACATGGTCTTGAGCCTCTTGGGCAGCCTGAAGTCTTTGCTGCCACAGGCCCTTTTGGAAAATGCCTGTTGGTTTTGTGTGTGTGTGGCGGGGTGGGTGGGTGGGTATGTGGGTTGTTCCCGCAGCCCCCAGTTGGAAATGGAAACTTAGGGGAAGAGGGTTAAAGTCCTCAGCCTCTAATGGCAGGACTGGGAGCCTGGGGACATAGAAACTGCGTGTTCACCAGGGGGTGTCTGGAAAGTGATTCTCTCCCTGACCTGCAGAAGCAAGCCCTGGAGTTCCTGGGCAGGAGGAGCTGGGATGGTCAAGAGGAGAGGGTTGGGGAGGAAGGCAGGCACACCCAGAGCTCCTGAAGGTGGGGGCCTGTATTGACTTCTCAGAGCACAGCCAGGGCCTGCTCCAGGTGTGGTGAAAGAGGTTTGTCCAATTGGTTTGGAAAGAGAGATCTAGAGTAAGATATAAGGTGACAGGAAGACGGAGAAACTGAGAGATGAAAAGACGTGCATACTCAGAAAAACCTAGAGATAATGGAAATGGAGAAGCAAAAGAAGAGAAAATAAAACAACAGAAATGGAGGGAGAGAGAGAGAGAAGACAATGTCTTCACCAAGGCCCAAAATAGAAGTTGCTGCTGGTGCTGGCAGGCTGCCCTGAGATGGCCCCTTAATTGGGGCTAAATTCAGCATTCTCCAAGCCCAGTGCGCGTGTCACTGAGGACGGCATGTGCTGGGCCAAGGTTGTCAGAAGAGGCCCAGCTGGATCTGGAATGTGTATCAGGTGTGTGGCTTCCTGCCCCAGGTTCCAACACTCTTTCCAGCTCCATCCCTGCATGCCCAGCCCAGCCCAGCGCTGCTGCTCTGAGGAAGCAGTGTCCACCCTGGAGAGCTCAGGGCCTCTCCTGCTCCTGGGGGATTGGGCTGAAGGGGCAGGAAGATGGTGGAGGGGATGATCATTGCATTTGGAGAAGAGACAGTGCTGGTGCAGGCTAACTTGTCTCTTCATGCCCTCTCTTCCAGTTGTGTGTCCCAAGCAGCCATAATTTAAGGTATCACCTCCTCTTCCATCCAGTCCTCTGTTGCTTAGGAAGAAGGGCTGGTCCTGTGTCTTAAGGGGACAGAGCCTCTGGTCCAGCTGTGTATAAGGGGATGTCTTGCTGGGTCCCCATTTCCCCATAAAATAAAAACACCTGCTATTCCTCATGCCATGACAAATTTTTGTTAGATGTCAATAATGTTTCAACGGCGTGAAAATCAAGACTAGCATACAAGAAGAACTGAGTTGAATTGAAGCCAGAAAAGCCAGTGTTCGTGCTGCCTGTCACCTCGCAGACCCAATAAAAGCAGAGACAGGGATTGAATCTTTGTGGGTGCTTTATTCATCTGGTCCATGATCTGAGAAGACAGTGGGTTTGTACCTTAACAAACTGCCTTAAATTCCATGTTCAACCAACCCTTTTTATAAGAAGAAGAGAAGTGTAACTAAGGGGATTAGAATTCAGGAAAAAAGTTAATCATATAAAAAGCTGCAGGTTTCTTTCATCTCTGTGCTGGGGGGTGGGCATCTCACCCTGGGGCACAATGGCTCAGATACCACCTTGATTGCTTGTGTCCTGCTGGGGCACAAAGGTGGAACTGCTTATGGTCTCCTGGAATCAGGATGGGTCATCTTTCAGTTCCTGGCCCAATAGCTTTTTATATACATTGATTACTAAGCTTATTAGCTATTACCTGAAACTAAAATTTTTCCAACGTTTCAGCCCCCCTTTATTCCCCCACTGTTAATTTAAACTATCTTATTTCTATGAGATCAGTTTCATGTGGAAGTTGAGCACGTATCTTAGCATTAGGCCATCTGGTAGGGGCTTAGGAAAACATTTAATTGCAGATCCACATAAGGGGGCATAGTGTATGCAACAACAAGCTATGATAAAGCACAAATTTAGCACAATTCACAGGAGTTTCATGCTCTCCAGCTGGGGCTACATTAGTGACTTTTAAGAAAAACATTTCCCTGTTTTTTAGAATTACCACAGGTTCCCAATTATATTTATCAAAGTAGGTTATTTTCTTATCGATATGCTGAAACAAAGTGTAATTTCAAAGGCTTTCTAGGGGAGTACAAACACCTATAAGACTATAGTGAAAGTTTGTTCAACATAAGTTCCTCCTGCAAGACAAAATTCAAAGATGTTTAGAACATTTTTGCTAAATATACCCAAATATTTTCATTTCATTTGAAAGGAACAAGTTTTCCATAACATGAGTTTAAACAAAAAATAATGAAAAGAATATGTCATTGTTTTCAAAAGATGACTTTCAGGTCCTCTTGAGGCTCAGTGGTCCATTGTTCTTCTGGTGATTTTAAAAAAATATATTTTATTTGTTTATTTTTAGAGAAAGGGGAAGGGAGGGAAAGAAACATCAATATGTGGTTGCCTCTCACATGGCCCCCACTGGGGATCTGGCCTGCAACCCAGGCATGTGCCCTGACTGGTAATCAAACTAGCAATCTTAGTTCGCAGCCCGCATTCAATCCACTGAGCTACAGAAGCCAGGGTATGGTCATTTCTTTAGTGTTATGAATCCAAGGTTTTATTTCTGCCAACTTCACCACAGTGGGAGTGTGAGAAGTATGTCCCAAGGTCCAGTTCACTTTTCTTCTAGTTGGCTTTCTGGAGATGCTATTGTCCAAGTCTTGAGGAGCACCTTATCTGTAGGCTCAAAGGAATGCAGTGAACCTGTAGGAGAGAAGTCTCTGATACAGGCAAGGCTATTAATTACAACCAAGGTCTGACCTAAATGTTGTACATTTTCTTTACCTTCACTTCTTGATCTAGATACGAATCTCTCCCCGCCCCCCCATCATAGTCTGAAATGGTCACTCATACACAGTTTTATAAGGACTCAACTGAATCCCACTTTGAGGAGCCACCCTTACCCCGAGCAGGACAACAGGCAAAGCTTGATCCCAATGGAGATGAGTTTCCTGACACAGCTTGGCTATATTTTTCTTCAAAGTGTGGTTCATCTTCCTAACTTCCCAGAGGCCTGAGGTCTCCATGCCATGTGGAGTCTCTACTTGATTCCTAAAAGTCTACTAACCTGTGTAATTTCTGAAGCAAAAGCAGGTCCATTATCACTCTAGATGCTTCTGGGGAGGCCAAAGCGAGGGACTATTTCCTTCAGTAAGGTTTTCACTACCTTTAGGATTTTTCTGTTCTAGTAGAATAGGCTCCTACCCATCCTGAAAAGGTGTCAACAAAGACTAACATATCTCCACCCTCAGACCCTTGGCATCTGGGTAAAGTCTATTTTCCAGCCCTCAAGTGGGCTCTGTCCTTGGTATTGTTTCCCTTCTTTCTTTGGATGGGGATCTGTCTTGGGGTTGTTCTGGCACACAACACATCTAGCAATTATTTTTCATGTGGCTTTAGCAATTCCAGGACCTGTGAGCCATGGTTTGACATAGGTAGTTAGTGAGTCTCTTCCATAGTGAGTGGACTCATGCAAATGCTTCATGACTGGCTCTACTAAATGTTCAGGAAGCAATATAACTCCTTTCTTATTCTTTCTCCATCCACTATCAGCTCCTTCTCCATCAAAACCCTAACTCTCAGCTTTCTCTAAGTCTGCAGTCAAATCCTCAGGGTCATATTGTGACAAGTCTGTAACAGGTACCAAAGGCATAAACGTTCCTGTAGCAGCTCCTGTCTCACTGCTCGATCAGCCAGACTGTTTCCTCTAGCCACTGCACTGTCCTCTTTCCGATGTCCCGGGCAGTGCATAACTGCTACCTGTAAAGGTACTTGAACAGCCTCTAACAATTAAAAAATTTCTGCTGCATGCTTATTCTCCTTTTTTATTGGAGGTTAACAGTTCTTTTTTCCTTCCAGATGGAACCATGTGGCTGAAAAATTAGGAAAGCTTACCTTGAGTCGGTATACACACTCACTCTCTTTTCCTGCGACAATTCCAGCACCCTCGTCATTGCAATCAATGTGGCTTTCTGAGCAGAGGTTCCTGGCAGCAAGGCCTTAACCTCCACTATTCCTTCAAGACTCACAACTGCATACCCAGCCTTTCTGTTTCCTTTGTTCATATAACTGCTTCCATCTGTGTTGACAGTCCAGTCTGCCTCTTCAGGAGCATAGCCCTATAAATCAATTCTGCTAGAATGTACTTCATCAGTTATCTCAGCACAGTCATGCATTAGCACAGCCGAGTCAGACTCTGGGAGAAGAGATGCAGGATTTAACTTACAGTTTTGAGGGAGACATTGGGATTTTAAGAAGAATGGTTTGGTCCCTGCCCCTTCTTCCAGCAGTGAGCCACAAATTTCCCTTTTGCTCCAGCAGGCTCAACACTTGCTGGGGTGCATAAATGGTGATAGGCTGTCCCAGGGAAAATTTTCAGCTTCCTGTAAGAGCTCACAGGTGGCTGTCTCAGCTCTCAAGCAGGCTGGCCTCCACTGGACAGTGCGATCTAGTTTTCCTTGACCAGTAAGCGATGGGTTGTAGAATGTCACTTAGCATTTGGGTGAGGACACCTGGAACAAGGCCCTCCCATTCATGAATGTATAACTGAGAGGCCTTTAGTAGGTTTGGAAGCCCCGGGGCTGGTGCAGAAGCCAGGTGCAGCTTCAGGGACTCAAGAGCCTGGTGCACCTCTTTGTCCGTTCTAAAGGGACATATTCTGATTCTTTCAGTTTTTCCAGTTTAACAGATTTGATGTAGAAAATGGAGTATGTTCCCAGTAATATCCAGTGGGCTGGCCCTCTGGCCCTACTCCCTCTGGACGTTTTTGCCCTGCCCTTGTAAGGGCTTTTCCTCCACCGAGTTTGGCTCCGTGACAGGCTCCAGATGGTGAGACCAGTTCAGACTCACTTTCCCCAGTTCCCTCAGCCAAGGAAGGAGGAAGATCCCCCAGGGCTGGAGGGGCCGTGGGGACCCTGACCACACTCACAGTAGCCGTGATATCCAGATCTTCCTGGTTCCTCTCTTCTGAGCTTCTGCTATCTTTCACAGGCAAATTCCCTTTTCTGTGGACCATTAATCTATTTCCTTTTAATCCTGCATCCTGATTATGTAAACTTATGCAAGTTTCTAATTAAGGCATTTTGTCCCACTTCCCTGATCTTTGACAAAGCAACTCTAGTTAAAATATAATATAGTAATTTAAATACCCATTCAGTGGCCAGCACCCTCCTGAGTCTGGATTATACAATACATAAGCCAAACAGTGTTACAATAAAAACTTAGTTATAAGTTTATCAGCATAGGTCAACCAGTCAGCCAAAACTCACCCTAAAGAGCTGTTTCCCAAACCAAAAACCACTGTTTTACCAGACAGAGCTCTGTGAACCAGAAGGCGCCTTCATTCCTGATGAACTAAATTGTGACCCAGGATTGTAACCTCAACCAGAAAGCACAGTGATTCAGTCAAGTGTGAAGAGGATGGGAAGTGCTAAGAACTGAAGGAGAAGAGTCCCCAAGTGAAATCACTTGGCAGCTGCTAGAGGGTCTCCAAATCCACACTCCAGGGCCCACCAGTCCAGGCAGCTGATGGGACTCCAGGTCAAATACGTAGATTTACTGGAGAGTCCCAAAGTCTGTTTCGCTGTGGAGTCGCCAGAATATGAAACGGGAAAAGCCAGTGTTTGTGCTGCCTGTCACCTCCCAGACCCAATAAGCAGAGACAGGGATTGAGTCTTTACGGGGGTTTTATTCAGATGGCTGGTAGTCTGAGAAGACGGCAGGTGTGTACCCTAGTGGGCCGTCTTAAATTTCATTTTCAACCAACCCTTTTTACAAGGAGAAGAAAAGTGTAGGTAAGAAGATTTAAATTCAGGAAAAAAAGTTAATCATATAAAAATCTGCAGCATTCTTTCATCTGTGCCCTGGGGAGTGGGCATCTCAGCCTGGAGTACAATGGCTCAGATACTCCTTGGTTGCTTGAGACCTGCTGAGGCACAAAGGTGGAACTGCTTATGGTCTCCTGGAGACAGGGTGGGTCATACCTTCAGTTCCTGGCACAATAGCTTTTTATATACATTGATTACTAAGCTTATTAGCTATTACCTGAAACTAAAATTTTTTCAGCTTTTGAGCCCTCCATCAGAATGACCACCACCTCGCCTTCCCGCTCCATCACATGAAGCTATTTTATAGATTTATACCACATCTGTGCCTGTAGTGCTCAATACTGGGTCAACTTAAAAGTAGTAATAGGTAATTAGTTGGAAAGTGCCCCCAGGCCCAAAAGAAGAAGGGAAGGGAATTAATATTTGTTGAGCACATATTTACATGCTAGGCATTGTGCTAAATATTTTTCGTTATGTGATATCATTTACTCCTACAACAGTCCTGTGGTGTTTTTATTATCACTTCTGCTTCCAAATATGGTAACAATGGCTAAAGGGATTAGGTAACTTTCCCAAGGTCACAGAGCTGGTTAGTGAAGGAGCTGGGGCCCAAACCCTCATCTGCTTGCCTTCAAAACCCATCTTACTATGCCGGCACACTCAAGGAATGGCAGGGAAGGCCTGCTTCTGTAGAAGCTAGGCTGACGACTACCACAGAAAGTAAACAGTCTTTTAGGAGGTTTGGAGGAAAGCAATATGCAGGACAGTGCCACTCTGCCTTGGTGGGCCTGGGCTCACATAGTCAGACGGTGGGCAGGGGAGTCAGCAGGAAGTGTAATACAATTGGGCCAAGACTTTAGAGCTATCACAGGTCAGGTTCACCTGGAAGTAGACTGTGAGATGTAATTGGTATGCAGAAAACTTCTTGGGGAGTGGTCTTCAGAACAAGGATTGTAGGGGAGGGAAGGGAGCAGGATTGGGCAGAGAGAGGAATTGGAATGTGATGCGGTCTCAAAAAAGCTTCAACTGATTTCGCAGGAGCTCTGGAGCCAGGGTGACCTTTCAGTGTTGTCTTGAGTTGGGGTGAGGGAGCTGGGCCTTTGTACCCTGTCAGTGACCTGCCACTGAGTGTTGACTGCTCATGGAAGAGGATGTGTCCTTGGATAAGGATGCTTTCCTCAGCTGAGGCAATTCCCAGAGAGAAAGGATGGATGAGGGTTGTCAGACAACTGATTCCCAGAAGCTGGGAGAATAAGTCTTGTAGGGGGTCATTTGGGCACACAGCACCCATGACAAGGTTTCTCAGTGATACCAGTGGGGAAGGTTGCTGGGGAAGGCCACCTCCAGGGTAGACAGAGATGTCCAGGTATAATACGACCATGGATGAGATTTCCCAGGGGCAATGGCCTTACAGATTATGGGACAAAGGGAAGGAAGCTGGGCCAAGGAGTTCTGAAAAGAAACTTGAAGTTTGAATATGCCTCCCTGCTCTCTGTGCCAAACAGGAAATGAGCCCAGGATGGAGTCCTGGGAGGAAAATCAAAGCTGAAGTCATCCCATGGCTAACATGCCCTCCAGAAAACCTTGAGATCCCAGCCCTGTGTGGAGCTACACTGGGTGGGAGCAAAAGACGGAGACAATGGAAGAGGCAAGTAAAGGACAAGTTGGTCTTGTCTCAAGGAATTCACTTTCTGGCTGGGGTGCAGCTTCATATGTGAGAACAGGCAAACAGCAGTACTCGGTGTGCTCCCAGGCTGTCTTGGGTGGTTCTGCCGGCTCTTGGGGTAAATTAATTCAGAGAAGAGATCCAGTAAGGTGAGAAAGTCAAGGAGAGATCCTTAGAATCAAAGAGACTTAGGATGAGCCTCAAGTACTGGA